GGGAGAACACTCCCGCTAGAGGACACCTCTCTACAAAGGACAGTTTCCATCACCAATACAGTAGAACAACCTCCATGAGAGGACACCTCTCTACAAGGGATAGTTTTCATCACCAATACAGTAGAACAACCTCCATGAGAGGACACTCCCGCTAGAGGACACCTCTCTACAAGGGATAGTTTTCATCACCAATACAGTAGAACAACCTCCATGAGAGAACACTCCCGCTAGAGGACACCTCTCTACAAAGCACAGTTTTCATCACCAATACAGTAGAACAACCTCCATGAGAGAACACTCCCGCTAGAGGACACCTCTCTACAAAGGACAGTTTCCATCACCAATACAGTAGAACAACCTCCATGAGAGGACACTCCCGCTAGAGGACACCTCTCTACAAGGGATAGTTTTCATCACCAATACAGTAGAACAACCTCCATGAGAGGACACTCCCGCTAGAGGACACCTCTCTACAAGGGATAGTTTTCATCACCAATACAGTAGAACAACCTCCATGAGAGAACACTCCCGCTAGAGGACACCTCTCTACAAAGGACAGTTTCCATCACCAATACAGTAGAACAACCTCCATGAGAGAACACTCCCGCTAGAGGACACCTCTCTACAAGGGATAGTTTTCATCACCAATACAGTAGAACAACCTCCATGAGAGAACACTCCCGCTAGAGGACACCTCTCTACAAAGGACAGTTTCCATCACCAATACAGTAGAACAACCTCCATGAGAGAACACTCCCGCTAGAGGACACCTCTCTACAAGGGATAGTTTTCATCACCAATACAGTAGAAAAACCTCCATGAGAGGACACTCCCGCTAGAGGACACCTCTCTACAAAGGACAGTTTCCATCACCAATACAGTAGAACAACCTCCATGAGAGAACACTCCCGCTAGAGGACACCTCTCTACAAGGGATAGTTTTCATCACTAATAAAGTAGAACAACCTCCATGAGAGAACACTCCCGCTAGAGGACACCTCTCTACAAAGGACAGTTTTCATCACCAATACAGTAGAACAACCTCCATGAGAGAACACTCCTACTAGAGGACACCTCTCTACAAAGGACAGTTTCCATCACCAATACAGTAGAACAACCTCCATGAGAGAACACTCCCGCTAGAGGACACCTCTCTACAAAGGACAGTTTCCATCGCCAATACAGTAGAACAACCTCAATGTGAGGACACTCCCACTAGAGGACACCTCTCTACAAAGGACAGTTTTCATCACCAATACAGTAGAACAACCTCCATGAGAGAACACTCCTACTAGAGGACACCTCTCTACAAAGGACAGTTTCCATCACCAATACAGTAGAACAACCTCCATGAGAGGACACTCCCACTAGAGGACACCTCTCTACAAAGGACAGTTTCCATCGCCAATACAGTAGAACAACCTCAATGTGAGGACACTCCCACTAGAGGACACCTCTCTACAAAGGACAGTTTTCATCACCAATACAGTAGAACAACCTCCAAGAGAGGACACTCCCGCTAGAGGACACCTGTCTACAAAGGACAGTTTTCATCACCAATACAGTAGAACAACCTCCATGAGAGGACACTCCCGCTAGAGGACACCTCTCTACAAAGGACAGTTTTCATCACCAATACAGTAGAACAACCTCCATGAGAGGACACTCCCACTAGAGGACACCTCTCTACAAAGGACAGTTTTCATCACCAATACAGTAGAACAACCTCCAAGAGAGGACACTCCCGCTAGAGGACACCTCTCTACAAAGGACAGTTTTCATCACCAATACAGTAGAACAACCTCCAAGAGAGGACACTCCCGCTAGAGGACACCTCTCTACAAAGGACAGTTTTCATCACCAATTCAGTAGAACAACCTCCATGAGAGGACACTCCCGCTAGAGGACACCTCTCTACAAAGGACAGTTTTCATCACCAATACAGTAGAACAACCTCCATGAGAGGACACTCCCGCTAGAGGACACCTCTCTACAAAGCACAGTTTTCATCACCAATACAGTAGAATAACCTCCATGAGAGGACACTCCCGCTAGAAAACACCTCTCTACAAAGAACAGTTTCCATCACCAATACAGTAGAACAACCTCCATGAGAGGACACTTCCACTAGAGGACACCTCTCTACAAAGCACAGTTTTCATCACCAATACAGTAGAATAACCTCCATGAGAGGACACTCCCGCTAGAAAACACCTCTCTACAAAGAACAGTTTCCATCACCAATACAGTAGAACAACCTCCACGAGAGGACACTTGCACTAGAGGACACCTCTCTACAAAGAACAGTTTCCATCACCAATACAGTAGAACAACCTCCATGAGAGAACACTCCCACTAGAGGACACCTCTCTACAAAGAACAGTTTCCATCACCAATACAGTAGAACAACCTCCATGAGAGGACACTCCCACTAGAGGACACCTCTCTACAAAGGACAGTTTCCATCACCAATACAGTAGAACAACCTCCATGAGAGGACACTCCCACTAGAGGACACCTCTCTACAAAGGACAGTTTCCATCACCAATACAGTAGAACAACCTCCATGAGAGGACACTCCCACTAGAGGACACCTCTCTACAAAGGACAGTTTCCATCACCAATACAGTAGAACAACCTCCATGAGAGAACACTCCCACTAGAGGACACCTCTCTACAAAGGACAGTTTCCATCACCAATACAGTAGAACAACCTCCATGAGAGGACACTCCCACTAGAGGACACCTCTCTACAAAGGACAGTTTCCATCACCAATACAGTAGAACAACCTCCATGAGAGGACACTCCCACTAGAGGACACCTCTCTACAAAGGACAGTTTCCATCACCAATACAGTAGAACAACCTCCATGAGAGAACACTCCCACTAGAGGACACCTCTCTACAAAGGACAGTTTCCATCACCAATACAGTAGAACAACCTCCAAGAGAGGACACTCCCACTAGAGGACACCTCTCTACAAAGAACAGTTTCCATCACCAATACAGTAGAACAACCTCCATGAGAGAACACTCCCACTAGAGGACACCTCTCTACAAAGAACAGTTTCCATCACCAATACAGTAGAACAACCTCCATGAGAGGACACTCCCACTAGAGGACACCTCTCTACAAAGGACAGTTTCCATCACCAATACAGTAGAACAACCTCCATGAGAGGACACTCCCACTAGAGGACACCTCTCTACAAAGGACAGTTTCCATCACCAATACAGTAGAACAACCTCCATGAGAGAACACTCCCACTAGAGGACACCTCTCTACAAAGGACAGTTTCCATCACCAATACAGTAGAACAACCTCCATGAGAGGACACTCCCACTAGAGGACACCTCTCTACAAAGGACAGTTTCCATCACCAATACAGTAGAACAACCTCCATGAGAGGACACTCCCACTAGAGGACACCTCTCTACAAAGAACAGTTTCCATCACCAATACAGTAGAACAACCTCCATGAGAGGACACTCCCGCTAGAGGACACCTCTCTACAAAGGACAGTTTCCATCACCAATACAGTAGAACAACCTCCATGAGAGGACACTCCCACTAGAGGACACCTCTCTACAAAGAACAGTTTCCATCACCAATACAGTAGAACAACCTCCATGAGAGGACACTCCCGCTAGAGGACACCTCTCTACAAAGGACAGTTTCCATCACCAATACAGTAGAACAACCTCCATGAGAGGACACTTCCACTAGAGGACACCTCTCTACAAAGGACAGTGTCCATCACCAATACAGTAGAACAACCTCCATGAGAGGACACTCCCGCTAGAGGACACCTCTCTACAAAGAACAGTTTCCATCACCAATACAGTAGAACAACCTCCATGAGAGGACACTCCCGCTAGAGGACACCTCTCTACAAAGAACAGTTTCCATCACCAATACAGTAGAACAACCTCCATGAGAGGACACTCCCGCTAGAGGACACCTCTCTACAAAGAACAGTTTCCATCACCAATACAGTAGAACAACCTCCATGAGAGGACACTCCCGCTAGAGGACACCTCTCTACAAAGAACAGTTTCCATCACCAATACAGTAGAACAACCTCCATGAGAGGACACTCCCGCTAGAGGACACCTCTCTACAAAGAACAGTTTCCATCACCAATACAGTAGAACAACCTCCATGAGAGGACACTCCCGCTAGAGGACACCTCTCTACAAAGAACAGTTTCCATCACCAATACAGTAGAACAACCTCCATGAGAGGACACTCCCGCTAGAGGACACATCCAGGGTGTCCATGGCAATACTGCTCTAGGGGGGACCATGGGATTGAAGAAGAGGTCAGCTGAAGAAGAGACAGACGAGGAGAACAAACAGTCTGGTGTGCTATCTGAGGTGACAGAGGAAGCGACAAGCTGTCTCCGGGAGCATGGCCGTGTGGATGATCCAACAAGACGGTGCCAGAGAAACTTGCCCGACCAGTACGGCTGTGGAAAATCCTTCTGGTGGCGGACCAGCAGCTACTGTCTCTGTGTCTACATAGAACTCCTTGTTATTTAGAAGCCTTGTAGACAAACAACGACGTCCTAACAATATCCATTCCCCAGTCTCCAGCCACTCCCGACAGCGCCACGTGGGTGTCTTTTACTTTTCCCCCATCGACCGATCGACGGTCACGTGACAGGTAGTCGCCCAATTCACGAAGTGTTTCAGCCATGCAGCCAATCAGAAATGGCCCAATAAGTCACGTGTTATCTGACCCATTGCAAGGATTCTCGATAAAATTTACGGTTCTTTCCTCAAGGCGTGAGCCAACGTTAGGAAGGAGATTGTGGCTCCGAACAGCTGGGAGAAGATTTAACGTCGGCGGAATGATCCATCGAGACTATTCGCCATATTTCATCACCCGGAAAAATCTGAAAAGATATTTAAACCGATGTGATAAATTTGTTTACAATTCTCTCCATTTAGAATTCATATGGCAAGTAGTAATAGTAACATTACGAACGGAAAACTATGCTCAGGGTAGCCTAGTGGGACATGGCATCTGCCCGGTAAGCGGAACACTGTGGGTTATATTTCCATCCCTGGACACTTTATTTTTCCGTTTATCATTACTCCTCACAATTCACCCTTTCATACCTCATCCCTAAGGTTGATAAATGATCATTATTTCTCCTTGAAATAAATTTTGATTTTTCGTTGAAAAGAAACACATGCGGGATAATTTTCAAATGTCGTTTTACAATCACAAGCCGCATTATATTGAATTATAAGTAACATAAAGGTAACCCAGGTTCCTGGAGCGTATCCATAGATCACCAACTACCCGGGCTGTCCTGTGGTTTAGGTCTTGGTAGCCTTAGTGAACCAGTTCACTTTATATGGCCATAACACGCCATCTCTATATAAGTAATGAAAGATTTAAACCATGAATGTTTATTTTTTTACACGTAAAACAAACTTCTACTGGGGGGAGAAGTCCGACCACACCTCCCTGCGGTTCCCCCTGGACCCTTGGAATATTCGACCAAATTCTGGTTCGTTTCCAAGATGACTAACGTGGCAACGGCACCCATTTTCCAATGAAGAGCAACCAAGATAGTGGATATTGCTGCTGCTGTGATAGAGATGCATGGAGACATCTGAGACTCTTCTTTGGACACGACAACAACAATACAGTATACACACCCAAGATAGTGGATATTGCTGCTGCTGTGATAGAGATGCATGGAGACATCTGAGACTCTTCTTTGGACACGACAACAACAATACAGTATACACACCCAAGATAGTGGATATTGCTGCTGCTGTGATGGAGATGTACGGAGACATCTGAGACTCTTCATTGGACACGACAACAACAATACAGTATACACACCCAAGATAGTGGATATTGCTGCTGCTGTGATAGAGATGCATGGAGACATCTGAGGCTCTTCTTTGGACACGACAACAACAATACAGTATACACACCCAAGATAGTGGATATTGCTGCTGCTGTGATAGAGATGCATGGAGACATCTGAGGCTCTTCTTTGGACACGACAACACAATACAGTATACACACCCAAGATAGTGGATATTGCTGCTGCTGTGATGGAGATGCATGGAGACATCTGAGGCTCTTCTTTGGACACGACAACACAATACAGTATACACACCCAAGATAGTGGATATTGCTGCTGCTGTGATGGAGATGTACGGAGACATCTGAGACTCTTCTTTGGACACGACAACAACAATACAGTATACACACCCAAGATAGTGGATATTGCTGCTGCTGTGATAGAGATGCATGGAGACATCTGAGGCTCTTCATTGGACACGACAACAACAATACAGTATACACACCCAAGTTAGTGGATATTGCTGCTGCTGTGATAGAGATGTACGGAGACATCTGAGGCTCTTCTTTGGACACGACAACAACAATACAGTATACACACCCAAGATAGTGGATATTGCTGCTGCTGTGATGGAGATGTACGGAGACATCTGAGACTCTTCTTTGGACACGACAACAACAATACAGTATACACACCCAAGATAGTGGATATTGCTGCTGCTGTGATGGAGATACATGGAGACATCTAAGACTCTTCTTTGGACACGACAACAACACAATACAGTATACACACCCAAGATAGTGGATATTGCTGCTGCTGTGATGGAGATACATGGAGACATCTGAGACTCTTCTTTGGACACGACAACAACACAATACAGTATACACACCCAAGATAGTGGATATTGCTGCTGCTGTGATAGAGATACATGGAGACATCTGAGACTCTTCTTTGGACACGACAACAACAATACAGTATACACACCCAAGATAGTGGATATTGCTGCTGCTGTGATGGAGATACATGGAGACATCTGAGACTCTTCTTTGGACACGACAACAACACAATACAGTATACACACCCAAGATAGTGGATATTGCTGCTGCTGTGATAGAGATACATGGAGACATCTGAGACTCTTCTTTGGACACGACAACAACAATACAGTATACACACCCAAGATAGTGGATATTGCTGCTGCTGTGATAGAGATGCATGGAGACATCTGAGACTCTTCTTTGGACACGACAACAACAACAAACTTCTACTATCTTACTGCGATGAAATTATATATAATTCTACTGTCCTATAAAAGCTTATGTCCATAGTTTGCTTTAAATACCATTTCTGGCATTCAACCTTCAGTGTAACATATATAAGCAGAATGATACAATACAGTATTAGAGCTCTAAGAAGCGTGGTATGGTAGATTAAATTGGTGAAACCGCAGGGAGGATTCACCACTGATGAACCAAGTCCTCCCAATATTTTTCATTGTAGTGTGTCGTGTGTAAAAGAACAGTAGAAAAAAGTCTGATTTATGTGTAAAAGGAACATTTATGCTTTATATAATGCCTATATTTCTTACATTTAGAGATTTAATAAGAAAATTAGACCATTTAAAAAGAAGTCTTTAAAAGAAGATAAGACTAGAGTTGGTGTGTGACACGACGACATCTTATGTCTTTGTAATAACGTACAGAATGAAATAGTCATGCGCATGCGCTGTTTTGATTGTTCGCTGAGAACCAGGGGTGAGCCAATCAGAAAAGCGAACCACAAGTGGTACCATATTTACATATAAACCGGGGGGGGGGGGGGGTCGGTGGAAGGCTGGTTAAACCGTTTGATTTTGACCACTACGACCCGGGTTCGATTCCCGCATTGGACACTTTTTTCAAGGTGTAAAAAAAAAAAATGCTCCAATGGCCCCCGATTCTTGCAAAAGTCCAACCCCACCAGCGAGTGCAAGTAACCAAACGGGGCTCTGGCACATTTGTAAGTGCAAAGTCAAACTGCTTTTCACATGTGTAGCTATGTGGTGCACTTACAGTAAAAGCAGTCGCTAACTACCCACCATGATTATCATGGCCTGTACCATGTGTACTAGGGATAAGCAAAAAAAAAAAAAAAACATAAACCGACGTCTAATACATAAATAACCTATCAAACAAGATACTGAAGGAGGACTTAAACCAACCCGGTCTAGAAGATATGTACCAAATTTCCATTAAGAAATTATACCATCAGCTACAAAATTAATCTAATCTACCTATATTTCGGATAATAGCAGATGTCACCGACACGAGTCTGCTAGTTTGCGTCAATAGTTTTAACGTCTATTTTGACCTTTGTCTTTATAGTTTAATGGAAGTTATATTCTAAGTAATATATTCAAGTAATATTCTAACTAAAAACAATGTGCAAAATGTGTGTGTGTATAGATTTGTAAAAGTTTGGCATTAGGCGGTGTTTTCATGTTCTCCTGTAGAAGGGCAGAGATGCTCGAAAAGCTTGAGACTACTTTAATAAAATAAAAATCTTCAGAAACCTTTTTAATTATATAATTTATGTCCAGGAGATATATTTAAATCAATTGATATGAAATTTATTTAGTATGAAATGATGATTTAATTGATATGAGGAATGGACAAAGAGAGCTATGTGTTAAGATGGTCTTACCTCTTATAAAGACACGTACTTGGGAGGAGTCTTGCATGGAGACGAAACATCGACGTTGTCAGCCCAGGAACTCAGGTTTCTGAAGACGTTTGAGATGTAGTATTGGAGATGGTTGGAACCTCCATGGAGGACGTCTGTACATGTCACCAGAGGTATTAGCTTCAGCAGGTGAGAACAGTTGACTCACTGAAATATCAAGAAAACTGAATTCTATATAGGGCCATGTTCTAATATATTTTATTCTACTTAAAAATGCAACAACAACAAGCTTTATTAAGACCTTTTGTTCTTATACAGATTCCCCTAGTAGAAGAGGTATACATCGAATGAAGACATTAAGACGCGAATGTTTCTTTTACACATAAATCAAACTTCTACTGTCCTTACTGTGATGGAAAATTATATTGGGAGGGCTTGGCTCATCAGTGGTGAACCCTCCCAGCGGTTTCGCCAATTTAATCTACAAGACCACCCCATTAGAGCTCTAATACTGTATTGGATCATTCTGCTTATATATGCTACATTGAAGGATGGAATATCAGAAATGGTATTTAAGTAAACTGTGGACATAAACTTTTAAGACAGTAGAATTACATTAAATATAATTTTTCATCGCAGTAAGGACAGTAGAAGTTTGATTTACAGTAGACTCTCCTATAGCGCGAGTTTTTACAACGCGATTTCGTACAACGCGATAAAAAAAAATTGCGACAAATTTATTTATACAACGCGAATTTTCGTATAACGCGTTATAAAATAAAACAATTTACCCTAACAACATTCGCGTTATACAAGTTTTATTTCGTACAACGCGAATTCCTATAACACGATTTCATACAACACGGAACACATTAATCGCGTTATAGGAGAGTCTACTGTATTTGTAAAAGATCCATTCGCGTATTAATGTCTTCATTCGATGTATATAGAAGAGAGTATATTGTTACGTCTTCATGTACGACTGTTTAGACTGTAGAATGATCCTTTGCTGTATTGTAAACAGCGGGTAGTCATACCAAATTTAATTTTAACAAGAAAAAGTATTTACCAATATTCGCCAGCTGTCTAAATACTCGTACAACCGAGAGATATATAAACAAACTATTGACAAATAAAATGACGACTTAGCATCACAATGATGATATTGATGATGATTTACCGAGAAGGCCACCACATTCGGTGACAATACACAGGAATATATAACAGTATATACAACTAAAACTGAATTCTATATAGGACCATGTTATAAGACATGCTAGTCTACTCAAACAACAACAAAAATCTTTATTAAGACCTTATTGGTCCTATACAGATATATTCTCCGAGTAGAAGAAGGTTTATACAGGAATAACACAGTAATAGTGAGAAAACTGAAACTGAATTCTATATAGGACCATGTTATAAGACATGCTAGTCTACTCAAACAACAACAAAAATCTTTATTAAGACCTTATTGGTCCTATACAGATATATTCTCCGAGTAGAAGAAGGTTTATACAGGAATAACACAGTAATAGTGAGAAAACTGAAACTGAATTCTATATAGGGTCATGTTATAAGACA